CCTACCCCCCCCATGGACATGTTGGACCCGGGTCTGGATCCCGCTGCCTCGGCCACCGCTGCTGCCGCCGCCAGGTAAGAGCGCCCGGCCGGGCCGTGCCCCCGCGCGTCCGGGCTCCGGCCCTTCGGCCTGTAGGCTGGGCCGCCATGATCCCGAGCGGCCGCCAGGCCCGGCCCAAGATGGAGGCCGTGAGGGAGGGGGACACCCGGACCTAATGTCCCTGGACCCGGCCCTAGCGGTGCCCCGAACGTCAGGCGGAGTCGGACGGGTTGGGGCCCCGCACCTGGGCGGAGGGCGGGGGCGCGGGCAGCCCTGAACCCTCCTCTCCTTCTTGTCTTCTCCACAGCCACGACAAGGGACCTGAGGCCGAGGAGGGCGTCGAACTGCAGGAAGGTGAGTGCTTGCGGGGCCCACTGGGGCTGCGGCCGCGCCCAGGGATGGGGCTGGGGGCCCCTGGTCCGGAGCGACCAATGACTATCCCCCTACCCTCCTCCGACCGCAGGCGGAGACGGCCCTGGGGCGGAGGAGCAGACGGCGGTGGCCATCACCAGCGTGCAGCAGGCGGCGTTTGGCGACTCCAACATCCAGTATCAATTCCGCACAGAGACTAATGGAGGACAGGTGAGCAGCGGGCTGGAAGCCCTGCGGGCCAGGAACCCGGCTGGCCAGTGGAGGGTTGAGCGGAGGGTCGAGCGGGCGGGCTGGGAGAGGCTCGGACCTGGCCCCAGCGCCGGTCTCGCCGCTCTGCCGCCCCCTGCAGGTGACATACCGCGTAGTCCAGGTGACTGATGGTCCCCTGGACGGCCAGGGCGACACGGCTGGCGCCGTCAGCGTCGTGTCTACCGCTGCCTTCGCGGGGGGGCAGCAGGCTGTGACCCAGGTGGGTGTGGACGGGGCAGCCCAGCGCCCGGGCCCCGCCGCTGCCTCTGTACCCCCAGGTCCCGCAGCGCCCTTCCCGCTGGTAGGTGCCCAGCAACCCCTGGGGGGTGGAGAGGGGACACTGACTCTGCTCTTGGGGAGTTCCAGGGAGTGGGCAGGTGACACACATATGCGCCATTCAGGCTGTGGGGTCAAATACGTGTCGTGCACAGTAAGACCTTGGGCAAGAACTCTTGGAATTTTTTTTTTTAATTTTTCTATAAAGTGGGGATGATATCTCTAAAAGAAAAGTTTCTTAGAGTTAAAAGTGGATTGTCTGAGCAAGTGATTGTCAAGTATTTGCCAAGTTCCAGGGTTATAGCAAGACACAGGATGGAATGATACAGGTAGAAGGGTCCCATTCCTGTTTATGGCAGAGAATGTAATTACTATCTCACAAGCAACAGGGAAATGGAATGGGGGAACAGAGATGGCTAAGGGTGGTCTCTGTTTCCTTCTCTGCAGGCTGTAATTCAAAATCCCTTCAGCAATGGTGGTAGCCCAGCGGCCGAGGCTGTCAGCGGGGAGGCAAGATTTGCCTATTTCCCGGCATCCAGTGTGGGTGATACCACAGCTGTGTCCGTACAGACCACAGACCAGAGCTTGCAGGCTGGAGGTAGGAAGAAGCAGCAGCAGGTTGGAAAACCCAGAAGGCAACAAGCCTAATAGGTAGAGAAGTTCCCTAGTGGTTCCAGCTCTGTCCCTGTTACAGCACTAACCCCCATTCTCCCTGCAGGCCAATTCTATGTCATGATGACGCCCCAGGATGTGCTTCAGACAGGAACACAGAGGACAATTGCACCCCGGACACACCCCTACTCCCCGTACGTTCACCCTGGACACAGCCCTACTCTCATGAGCAGGGAACACTGGAAGGCCCTGGTATTGGGGCCAAAGGAAGGGAGGGTTTTCTAGGAGCTGGGAAGTTCAGCATACAGCAGGCACATGGTGACTTTTTTGGCTTATTTCTGCTTCTCTAGTGTGGGTAAAGAAAGTGCCATTTCCTGTTTTTGCACATAGATTTATCTTGTAAAGATAATTTTCAAGTGTAGCGGGTTAATGAATGCTAGGACAAACGGGCCTGAGATAATATATGCCCATTTTTTCCACCCTCTTCCAGAAAAATTGATGGAACCAGAACTCCCCGAGATGAAAGAAGAAGAGCTCAGCACAATGAAGGTAAGCACAGGGTGGAGCTCCTGGGCCAGCCCAGGCCACCATGGCCTCATAGGCTCAGCCTGTCCCCGTGTTTGGAATCATAGATAGGGAGACGACTGTAGGTCATTACTGGCACACTACAGGTGCTGGAGAGATGCTTTTGGATGCTGGAAAGGTGGTGACTGAATGGGGAGGGGAGAGGGTCCAGTATTAGAATAAAAGGGCAGGAAGTGTGAGTTGGAATTAGGCATGTGTTTTGGCACACCTGGCTAGTGATTTTGAATGAATGACCAACATCTAAAGTAGTTGACTTCACATTCCCACGTGGATTTCCTGCCCCTCTTGAAAAATTGGGTTGATGTGGCTCACCTGGACCGACCTTTCCCCGCAGTAGCTGTTGTGCTCACATCGCTCCCATGCCTGCTTAGCCTCCAGAAATAGCTCTGATCTGCTGGGGAACACATCTGAGAGAGAAACCGCAGGAAGCTGTGTCTCTGGCTAGCTGAGGCCAGAGCATTCTGCCCTTCCCAGAAGTCTCACCTAAGGTCATTTTTGGCCTGCAGCACTGTCCCCCTAGGTCCTGTGCTTCAATTATAGCCGCTGCACTGGACATAGTGGTGCCAGGACAGCACTTGCACCCAAATAGCCGTCGTTAACCAAATGTTTACTGACGGTGGATTCCAGGCTGAGCAGCGTGGGCCCTGCGTCAGGTCTGGAGTTGGCCTGAGTGTCAGGGAAGCTCAAAGGCAGGAAAGGCTTGTGTCTGGGTGATGGCTGATGGGGGATGAGGGATGAGGGGAGGCTTCCCCGAGAAAGCATTCTTTGGGAGCATCTGTCAGGCAGAAGGCAGTATGGGTCAGGTTGCTTCCAGGAGAGCTGGTTTGATTGCAGCAGAGGGTCTGTGTGGAGTGTAGCTGGGAGGGCTGAGGCAGGGGTTGAATGTTAGTGAGGCGGTAAGTTCTGAGGGTGTTTGATGGGGTGGGGAGTCTTGGTCTACTGAGTTGTGTTCTTAGCAGCTCGCTGAGTTCAGGCATTCATTCAACATACACTACGTGCCTGCATCCCCTGCCCTGTGTCAATACTGCTGAGGCAGCGGTACCCTGGATAACAGAACAGAATCTCAGCTCTCACTGTGTTCAGAGGGTGGGGAGGGGGGGAGATATGAATTATATGCAGCTACAGTATAACATCAGGTGGCACAATAAGTCACAGGCCGGCAAGTAGGGCTGGATGAGAGGAGGGAGAGGGATCGCAGCTGGGTGCGCTGAAGGCCTCTCTGGGAGGTAACATTTGAGCAGAGATCTAAACAGCCCTTAGGAAACAACCAGTCAAGAACGTAGGAAGAGTCCTAGGTAGAGAGAAGAGCAAGTATAAAGGCCCAGGCCCTGTGCTGGTGCAGACTTGGTGTGTTTGAGAAGAAGCAGAATTCAGGAGAAGAGAAAGTTGGCAGGTGGCAGGCTGCCAAGGCCAGATCACAGAGGGCTCGAACGAATGCCC